TACATTGCATAATGTTTAAAACAGGTTAAATACTACACATTTTAATGGCATTATTTCATTTGCTTGTAATATAGCTATAACTTTTATGTCATAACGAAAAGATATTCAAATCATCACTCTTCATTTGACTCGTTTCTTTAAAAATTTGTACCTACCTTCCTAAGGATTTAATTATTGATATTTTCTTAATTATTAATAAATTTTTAAAGTGACAATAAAATCCAACTGACCAGTCTTAATTCATAATTACCACTCAACTATAACAACAGCTGCTCATTAAAGCTACATTATAGATAAGACAGACTGGTGGTCATACTGGATTTCTATGAATTAGCTATATTCATTCCTTCATCTCCCTCCAGAGAATATTTTGAAATTCAAGTGAGTGAATATATTTTTAGGGTGCCATTTTTTTAAAAAAAAAAAAAAAAAAGCCATTCATGAATGATACTTTGACATTTCTAAGTAACAAATCACACAACCTATCTTACAACCAAGTGCCAAACAACAGAGTTGACTGGAGGATGAAAGGCCAAAATCCAAAATTCTCAGCCATGACATATAAACAAAGTTGCTTATGACTGACATTTACCTACCAATGCACTCATTCCCCACCACTCCTGAATCTGTTCTCTTATTCTCCATCCTTGTAGTGTCATAAGAGCCATTCTTCTAGCCTCAGTTGTCTGTTTTATTTGCACTCTCACCCCTTCAGGTGACTGACTACTCATTCTTCAAGGAAAGGCCCACCCCCAGGGAAAGCATTCCTTTTGTGCTCTTATTCTCCCAGCTCCCAGTCTTTCCCTTCCTCCCTACTCTCAGAATGTTCTGCTATCCATCAGTTTACAACTAACTGTTTACAATTAGAAATTCTTGGAAATAAAAACTGCTTATTTTTCTTTACATTTCCAATATCTATGCCTTTTATGTAAAGGATATTTAACAAATATATTTTTGTATTTTATGTCAAATAATTTAACTAAGTGAGAACAATACAAAAAGCTCTGACTAAGAAAACTCCCCAAATGCAATATTATACCTGTCTGATAACCTAAGAGAGTCCTGCTTATTAACTTTTAAGTTAAAATAAAAAGCAGAGAAAATATCATCACTAACAGTTTCAGCTCTTAATCTACACAATATATTTTAAACTTATAAATGCAGTAAACAATTTAAAAATACATTTCAAAACATAATACTTTAACAGTCTTACAATATGTTAACAGTTATAACCACCCACTATAAATTCTACAAAATACATATATTTTCTAGTTGCCTATAAATTTTATATTTAAGTATTTTAAAAAGCATATTAGCTACCAACTTGAAACATAAAATGTCCTAAATTAGGGCTGTCATGTTATGAAGATAATGATCTCACCACCCATCCCCCCCAAAAAAGACCCACCGTAGCATCATCAGTTAAAAATTCACATATTTATTAATGAGAGTGGACAGTTCAGGTAAGAGCGATATCAAATCCTGGATATAAGATTTTAAACCTTATTTTGTACTTGTTATCTACACCACATGCAATAAGTAACACTCCCCCCTTTTTTTTTTGTGGGAGGATGACATTTAATCAATGACATTTGCTAAAATTTAAATAAGAACTGTAGCTTCCCCCACCCCCACCAAAATGCCTTTTTCATTTCAGCAAACATAGTTTTGCCTACCTGGCTTTTGTTTGGCTTTTTCTAGCAGCTGCTTCACTAGCAGTCAATGGTTCAGGAAGAGCTGAAGGAACAGAAGAGTTCTTGAAAGAAAAAAACAAAAACAAAAATTTTCATTTTGGTTTTTAATTTTAACAAGTTTGTTTTTTAAGCTATGGACATATTATTGAACTTATGCTGTTTGTGAGGGCTGGGATGTAGCTTAGTGGTAAAGCACTTGCCTATCAGCTAAGGCCCTGGGTTTAATCCCCAGTATCTCAAAAACAAAACAAAACAACACAAAATACTTTGTATGAGATGCCATTTATTTTCACATCCCAAATTATCCACATTATATTTCCCAGATATAATCTGCAAATATCACTACATGTTATACAAATGTCATTTGGGTAAAAATAAAGATTATACTACAAATATTATAAATCAAAGATTATTTTGTACTTCAGAAAAAGAAGTATACAGGGGAAGGGAGGGGGCATGGGGTAATTAATGATGGTTGAATGTGATGATCATTATTATTCAAAGTACATGTATGAAGACACGAATTGGTGTGAATACACTATGTATACAACCAGAGATATGAAAAGTTGTGCTCTATATATGTAATAAGAATTATAATGCATTCCACTGTTATATATAAATAAAAAATTTTAAAAAAAGAAAAAGAAGTAAATAAGTGTAAAAAAGTGTTTACAAATACTACAGATAATTTTCATGACACTCAGCATAAGATCTAGAAAATGAAGACAGAAGGCTTCACTAGTGTTTACGCCCCATGTTTGGATCACAACAGAAATCAGTAAATATTAGATGAATGGAGAGCTAAAAATCCATAGTAAAATTTCAAATAAAACTATTTTCTTTATTGAATGTTAGAACTGCATGATTTCAGCTTCAACATAGAAAACATTACATTTGATACATTAAGGGCTGCTGGGAGCCATTAGCCAAGTAGGTATGACAATTTCCTTGCCAGCGTACCCCATGTTGCAGTGACATTGCATGTAGGTGACCTTGCTCAAGGACCAGGGCGGATTAGGGTGTTCCCGGTTTAAGATAATCGGGTTTAGGGCGTTCCCAGTTTAGGTTCCAGGTTTAAGGTTTAAGGTTTAAGATTATTCCTGCTGGGAATAGGGCGTATCCTGCTGCCTGAGTTCCCCTTGAGTTCTCACGGGATTCAGACAGTATTTTTTGGGAGATAGAAGCCCAGTGGATGTGGATTTGGGCAGAGAACGTGGATTTACCCAGAACGTGATCGTAGATGGCTGGTGTGAGTTCAGAAATAAAGAGTTGCTGTTTGAATCTACAAGCTGTGTGGTGGCTCGTGATTGTGTGCCCAGCCAGACTGCGGCAAAGGGCCTTAAAAAACAAAAAAGGAAAGGTACCACATTCCTTCATTTTTTCTTCATAGGTAGATTAAATTATACATAAGGGAAACATGTACAAGCAAAATCAGGCCAGAATGTTCTTTATAAAATTAAAAACGGCTTAAAATCAGTAACAACTAGCAACCTTATTAAAATTACCAGAGACTTGTCATACATCATTTATCTGAAGTTAATGTAGTGTGCACATAGTGAATAAAACTTCAAACAATATGCGCTATTTCCATATAAGCTCTTTCCATGGACTCAGCACTAGGTTTTACATTAGTTGTAATCTTTGTAATTACTATCTTGCTTTACAGACGAAAAAAAAATGTATATTAGGTAACCTCCCCAAAAAAAACAACAGAATTGAATTCAGGTCTCTCCGTTTACCATGCATCTACTTTTCACAACCAACTTTCCCCAATTTTTGTCTTTAAAAGAGCACTTAGTGTCTGTTTATTAAATGGTTAAGCTTAAACAACTTGATAAAAGAAGTCTGTGCTATGTCAGACAAATGTCATTGTGTTCCCTTGAAAATGCAAAATATCCTCTTGAGTTTGCTGCAGTTCTCCAGGACACCTCAGGACATAGTTTCAGAAATGTGGCTTTATACAAAAACTATACTCACAAACACAGTAGCAGATCACTTGTCATAAAACAAGTACTCAAAGCGTATACACACACATACACAAACACACGTATCTCCACACAAGATAAAATGTATTTTCAATTCATATCCTACTTCAGAAACTACTTACATTGATATTGGAGATCGGACAATCCTTTTTGGCAAATTTAAATGCAAAATAGGACACTTGAAATATATCAGGTCTATGCTCTGGATCTGGTTCAAGCATGAACCCTGTAAGAATATATCAAAATGTTAAATTTTACTGAATATAGATGATACTTAGGGGCATATTATAAGTATAATTCTGTTCCATTCTAAGAACAGGGATGATTCTAGCAAACTTTGTTAATGTTTATAGGAAACAGACAGATTGCTATTTTATATGTGAACTTAAAAACATTATTCCAAACTAAAAGATAGATTAAAGAAGTCATTGAACAACTATTTACCAGAAGTATGACTGACCTACATGATCATTCTGTTGAGAAAGTAACACACAACATAAATTAATATTGGAGAATTATTCAAGATAAATTCCAGGGACATGGAGGTAAAGGGAAGATGAAGCTTTCAAAATAATTCCACTTGAAATAATTCTCATTATTGTCTAAAATTCCTCTACCTTGAAATAATCCTCAATCATTGAGAAAGGTTACATTGTGTACATTTAAGAAAGTAGCACAGGGTTGACACTATAGTTTTCCAAAAACATGCTTTTAATATATACTAACAATGATCACTAGAATTCTGTATTTAAACATGCTATCTATATCATGTTCAGAAATATGAACAGAGTCTTATGGTTTTATCACAAATTTTATATTAACTTTAGGCAATGTTTGAAATATCAGAGACCTTTTCTCTAACTAAAATGGTCACTATCTCTTGTCCATTTCTTGAATTAATTTTAATTCCAAATTTCACAATAAGGTTGACATTTTTATTCAATTCTATAACTGAAAAATTTATATTTTATTAAGACATTTTTACAACTAAACCTGTTTCATTAAATAATTCTCAGTTTTTAGAATGTTTAGATCATTTTTTAAGTATTTAAAATGTAAAATTTAAGGCATTTAGATATTTTGAAACATGTTAATAATGTATAAAGAGATCTAAGTATATAAATCACTTAAATAACAACTTACAATAATTAAATCTTCCCTTCAAATATAATATTTTCAACAAAAATTATAATGTATCTCCAACATGATACACTTATTTCAGCTAAACAAAAAAACACAGTTGTATGGCAAGTGACACTGAACTCAAAACTTGAAAATTTATTTCAGAAATTTTGAGACTGGTCTAAAAAATACAAAAGCTGTGCTTGCTTCAGCAGTATATATACTAAAATTGGAACAATACAGAGAATGTTAGCATGGCCCCTGCACAAAAAAAAAAAAAAAAGAATGAAAAAAGAAAATTAAAAATTAAAAAGCTCTAAATAGAATACGATTTTATGTAATTAAAATGCTGACATACTACTGATGAAACTTATCCTTTATGATATATCGCCATTGTTAGATTGAAATAACTAAAAACATTTTAATTCAAATACTTGGTAGTTTGTAGTCAACCTCATACCAAAAAGATCTGAGGGATTTACAAGGTTTATTTATTCCCCAAATGCATTTTATATTAATACCCAAAAATATTGTTTTAAAAGCAACAGTGCATAGTTAATTTAATTATGTAAAATAAAGCTAAACATACTTTTAACAATAACTGTTGATTAATATAATTTTTAAAAACAACCAAATCACAAAAACTATCAAATTTATAATAATATAATCTTATTTTTCTATTCTAACAAGTTAATTTGGCTTTTAAAGTTTAGTTTTAACAATAGCTAATTATAAATATTTATTTCTATAAAAACTTGAAATAGCATACAGAATATAAAATGTTTTACATATACAAGAAAATTAGGGCTAATAGAAAAGTAATTCACTGGGGGGAGATGAGAGGGACAGCATAATGAGGTCAGCAAAGAAAATGTAGGCTCAAAATTTTCACTACATAGCTGTCAATATAAAAGGGCAACATGATCTATTACATGAATCAGTATCCCTAACACACACACACACACAAAAAAAAAAAAACAGATAAGAAAGAAAAACAGTATTCCTAACACAAAAGAGCAAATTCTCCTTCAAGTCAAGATTCTTAAGATGATCACAAAGAATGAACAACATCCTTAATGAACTGCAATGAGTGACATTTGGTTACACACTCTTCCAGTGTGGTCTAGTGGCTTAACACCTAAGAAATTCTACAAGGGTAGAAAACTGGTATAGGAATACACTTCCCTGGGGATCTGGCTAAATCCAAAAAAAAACCTTTTTAAGTATCTGGAGAAAAAGAATGGTCCTTTAGGTAATCCTGTATTTTTTTTTCTTTCACAATAGATGAGAAATATTGAGGAGAAAGAATAAATTTGAGATTTTATGTTCTAACCAATACTGGTATAAGTACTTCTATCTTTAAAGTTAAGCATAATATCATATCCTTTAAAGATTAGATAGCCAGACTAGAGTGAAGATAGAACAAAGGTTATCTTATAAGCAAATAAAAGGACCTCCAATTCCCAGGACTCATGTTTTGATTGGGAATACACATCTGCTTGAGCCACTTTTGTTTAACTATACTGATCCCATTTATGTGACATAAATTCAATTCAAAAGGTCATGTGTAGTATCTAATGAATTAAGACAGAAAATATTAGGGTACATTAGTGTGCCGAGTACAAGCAACATTTCATGAAACTTGATTCAGCTCATGTGTTTTTTTTACATTGGATCAGTCAAAAAAGTTTGAAACCACAAAACTTTGAGTTTAGGATTATGAGTTCTCTCTACTATTATAACTCATTTCCCTATGGAAAATATAATGACTTGTGTAATTACACTACAGAAAAAGAATTAAATGCTTGTATGTGTTAATCTCTGATACTCCTTCTTTCACATGAGGATATTCTCAGAACATACATGCTCTCTTCTAAATTATGTTTTAAAAGTGCCTTGCCTCTGAGGAAGAATCTGTGTCTTATAGCATTGTCTATGACTGAGTGCAGGTAAATCTAGGGGTTGGGTGCAGAACAAGCCTATCTGGCTTTAGATACAGATTTTATCAATCCAGGTTGAAACTCATTATCTCAAATGCTTGGAAGCAGTGTTTCTGATTTTTCAGTTTTTGTATTTTAGAATATTTATATACATACCAGGAACCATCTCAGGAATGGGACCTAAGTCTAAACACAAAAATTCTCCTGTGTTTCATAAAGTGTGTGTGTGTGTGTGTGTGTGTGTGTCTCCTTAAGAAAATTTTATACTTTTACAAAACCTGCATTTTGACTGCAACTGGTGACATGAGTTTGTATGGAATTTACCACAGTGACACCAAGTCAAATCTTTCAGATTTTGGATTTTCAAAAAAGGGATATTCAACCTGTACGAAAGTTGACAGTTTTAGCTGATGAAATCCTGTGCCTATCTCTAATTTGATTCTAAACTCAAAATTATGAGCTTGGTATGTGGCACACAATTTTAATTTCAGTGGCTTGGGAGGCTGAGGCAGAAGGACCGCAAGTTCAAAGCCAGCCTCAGCAACTTAGCAAGGCCCTAAGCAACTTAGTGAGACCCTATTTCAAAATTTAAAAAAAATAAATAGGGCTGGGATTTGGCTCAGTAGTTAAGAACCCCTGGGGGTTCACTTCCCAGTACCAAAAATAAATAAAAGTATGAAAAGACTAATAATCATTCCCGCAACACCCAGGTAAAATAGCTACATTTTTATCTCTAAATATTTTTAAGTTTAGTGCTAGCCATTAAAAAAAAATAATAATAAGCCATCACTTAGTATTTAAATATAATTTCTTGAACTCTTTCAAGAGAAATATAAAATGTATCACTAGACCACCGAATGATATAATCTAAAAATGCAGAGATATAAGCTCTAATCCAGCTAAACAATGGGGCATATCTATCAAGAGTGAGAGCTTCAATTTTCAAATACTTTGTCCAAAACTGTTTTCTCTCATAATAATTAAACCTCAAGTCTAGTGTTTTATGAACTCCTATTTGATAGCAATTAAACCATATCATTTACAAGAACTATATTTACAAAGAAGGAATGCATTAACGAACATATATGCTCAGTTTATCTAAAAGCAAAACTGGATTACATTTAAAACAAAAATAGCAGAGAATGTAGAAAATACCTTGTTTACTCAACTTAAAATGATCGTGTAAATCATTACAAGACCAATTACCACTGACTCTATTACCAATATAAAATTGACTTTTTTAAAACTTGGCTACATAGATATGAAACAGTTCTCTGTTCATCTTAATATTGTGATTCTTTCTATTGACATAAACACTACTAATACAACACAAAACAGTCTTAGCATTGACCGTAATATATTATTAAACCACCACAATATTTCCCACTGATATTATCATACATATCCTATTAAAAAACACTTATCTGCAGCAAATGAATTATGTTTATACTAATATTGCATAGGAAAGTACAACATCCCTGTGCATTCCAACAAAAACAGCAGCTAAAGGAACTGCTGCTGCTGTAGCAGCAGCCAAGCTATGTTTTAATCAAGGATCCAAGCCAAAGATGAAGTAGTTACCATTCAAGTTACATGAAGCAATGGATCCATGCCTAGTTCTGATCAAAGATAAACTAGCATCTCTAGTCCAACAGCTCAACAAATTTAAAGGAAAAATACTTTGGTTATAAGTCTCAAAAGCACTTTCCTGCTTAAAAATTTTTGAATTTTTTCCTTCCATAAGGGCACTTGTCCCTAACCCACAGTTTCTTATTATACTGACTATAATTTACTGAAAAAAACACCCAGTCTATTCTTTTTAAATTTTTCTGAAAAACATATACTCTGCAACTATAAAAATATAACTATTTGCAACTATAAATATTTTCAGCATTAACTTACTATATTTATCTGTTAACCTATGGAGATTATTATAGAAACTTATATGTTATGTATATGTGACCTACATAACTTATTTCATATACTACTGAAATGAGACTATGTTTAACAGCTGATAATAAATACATCTGATCATAAACAAGACACTAAGTGGTACTACAAATAATTCCAAGACATATATTCGGGATAGTATTGGTAGCTGTCCCTTAAACGTTATTGATCAAAACCCTTCCTCTACAACTCCCCAAGTAGTAATCCTAGTGCCAATGATTGAAAACCTCCATGAAAACCTTATCTTTATTTTTCAAGTACATTAAAATGTCTTTTTGTTTTTAAATAATATAGGAAAATGGATGAGGGTGTATATGAAACAAGATTGGCCATGATTTGATAAATCACTGAAGCTGAATGACAGGTAAAATAAAAACTTACTGCACTGTCCTATCAATACTTGTTTATAATATTTTAAATTCCCATAATAAATAATTTTTTATTTTAGCTTTTATCAGTACATCTATTGGGGTTGTATTTATTTTAGCACCTATTTTGAGGGATACCAGGATTTTGCTAGTTTTCACATGCTTTTCACTTTGGGCACAAATTTGTACTAGAAATGATAAAAACTAAAATCTGCATACTTACTGATAATGAAGTATCTGATATAAAGTATTAATTAACTAAATTCCAATTACAGCCTAAAATTATCAATAGTATTTATCTTGTTCACCTTCCCATTACATAAGCACATACCCACACACATATATATGGGGAGGGGGCAAATATGCTATAATAAGATTTTAGTAATAAATTATGTATCAGTGTATAAACTGCCAGTCTCATACAATTTTATTCTATGGGAACATTCAGAGATTCCCACTAAACATCTTAAATTCAACTATTACTAAAACATAATGGCTAAAACTATTTACAAAAAAGTAAATAGTCAGGACACGCAATAATTAAATTCCTCAAATGCTTTTGATGCTTTAAACTTTGGACAAAAAGTAAAAAAGTAACTAGATGAGATAGGGAAGGTCAAGGATCCAATGTTTATTTAAATGTATTCTAAAGGTATGTTTTACTCTAAAGGAATGTTTTATAAAAGACATTCAAGTTTTGCAAAATGGCATGACAGAAACAGGACTCATGGGAAAAACAATTGGGGTGGGCTATTTAAAAACTATTTAACTCTGACACTAAAGGGCTGACAAAAACTATTAAATGGTACCCATGAAGGTAATTTGTAATGCACAGACAAGTACTCAACTTGGTTGGAGGCTGCCTCAAGCATATAAAGCACAACAAAACAATGCTGACAGGTGCTCAACCAGTGAACATAAAAGTAAAGCCTTGAGGCTATTAAGTAGGTGGTTATTCAGATGTAGAGAGTCACATAAAATAAAGATACAATTCTCTGGGGGAAAAAACCCAAGTATAAGCACTCATATTTAATGTTCTCCAA